AAAATATTCATTCTTGTGGAATAAAAGGTTAAAGCATATCTCTAGAGAAAAAAAAAAAGAGATTAGTGAATGATCAAATTTTACAAAATCTTGACTTCACTAATTTTTAAAGTACGTGTAGACTGTATAAAAGGAAAGCAAACTAAGCATACAAAGAAAAATATCACAAGAAGTAATGAGCTTTTTGAGATAATTCATACAGATATTAACGGACCACTTTCCATTCCTTATTTTGCTAAAGAGAGATATTTTATCACTTTTATAAATGATCTATCTTGATATGGTTATGTATATCTAGTGCATGATAAGTCTCAAACCATTGACATCTTTGAGGTATACATTATAAAAGTTGAGAGACAATTAGATAGCAATTTTAAGATTATGAGATTTAATCGAGGTGGTGAATAATATGGTAGATATAATGAGTTAAGACAAAATTTTGTTTTTTTTCAAATCCTTAGAGAATCATGACATTTGTGCTCAACACACAATGCCACACATGCCACAGTAGACTGGTGTTGGTGAAATGCATAATCATTCTTTAATGAAAATAGTTAAGAGTATGATGAGTTACTTTTCTGTATCTATTTCTTTATAGGGTGAAGCCTTAAGGATCACAATGTATATCTTGAATATAATTCTTAATAAGGCAATATCTGCAACTCCTTTCGAGTGGTAGACTGGTAGGAAACCAAGTTTAAAACATATATATATAGGGTTGTTTAGCGAAAGTAAGAATCTTCAATCCTCATGAGAAAAAACTAGATTCAAGAATTATATCTTGATATTTTATTGGTTATCCAGATAAGTTCAAATGGTATAGATTTTACTGTTTTAATCATGATACGAAAATAATTGAAACCAGTAATTTCATATTCTTTGACAATGACAAAATTAGTGAGAGTGATGAACCAAGAAAAGTAGACCTTGAGGAAATAAGAGTGGATATCTCACCACCATTTTTGCCTCAAGAAACAATTGTTGCTCAACCTTCTCAGTAAGTTAAAAAAAATGAGCTACATAATAGAAATGATTCATTACCACAAAAAGATGTTGTTATTGAAAATATTGTAGAACAACCTCAATCAATGCTTTAAGAAGATCTTAAAGGAAAAGGAAATATGTTATATCAGATGACTATATGGTTTATCTACAAGAATCTGATTTTGATATTGGGATAAGAACATATCCGATTACGTTTTCATAAGTCATAGAAAGTGATGATGCTATTAAATGAATAAAAGTTATGAAAGGATAGTTGAAATCTATGGACCATAATGATGTTTGAGATCTAGTAAAATTGCTTGATAATTATAAAAGTGTCGATTATAAATGGATCTTCAAGATCAAACGTGATGCTAAAGGTAATATCGAATGATTTAAAGCCAAACCAGAGGTCAAAGATTTTTTGCAAAAGGAAAGTATAGATTATAGAAATACATTCTCTCTAACTTCTGAAAAGGACTCTCTTAGAACCATTATGGTACTTGTATATTTTGATTTAGAGTTACATCAAATAGATGTGAAAACTGGTTTTTTGAATGGAAATTTGGATAAATATATCTATATAGAACAACCTAAAAGATTCATAAAGAAATGAAAAGAACACCTAGTTTGCAAATTAAAGAAATTAATTTATGGTCTTAAATAAGCTTACAGACAATGGTAATGATATCATTACATCTTTCAGATTTAAGAAAAACATTGTTGATCAATGCATATATTTAAAATTAGTGGGAGCAAGTTTATATTTTTGATAATATATGCGGATGATATTTTGTTGGCTAGTAGTGATCTTGGTTTGTCATACTAAACCAAGAAGTATCTCTCTAAAAACTTTCAAATTATTGCTACGGGTAACGCAACCTATGTCATTACAATAGAAATCTTCAGATATTGATATCGATGATTGTTAGGTTTGTCTCATAAATGATATAATAACCGAGTTTAGAGAGATTCAATATGCAATTATGTTCAATTAGTATTGCACCCATTTCAAATGGTGACAAATTAAGTAAAACTCAGTGCCTAATGAATGACTTAGAAAGAGAATATATTAAGAAAATTCCTTATGCATTTGCTGTGGGAAGTTTGTTGTACGCTCAAACCGGTACTAGAACAGATATTAGCTATATTGTTGGTGTGTTGGGAAGGTACCAAAGTGATACAGGAATTGAACACTAGAAAGCTATAAAGAAGGTTATGAGGTACCTCCAAGGGATAAAGGATTATATGCTCACATATAAAAGATCAAAACAATTAGAGGTAATTGAATACTCAGACTCGAATTATGGTGGTTGTCATGATAGTTTAAAGTCTACTTTCATATTTTGTCTTTATGCTAGAAAATGAGACAATTTCATAGAAAAGTGTAAAATAGTCCATTATTGCCTCATCCACTGTGGAGGTCGAGTTTATAGCATGTTTGAAAGTCTCAAATCATGTTTTGTGGTTGCAAAATTTCATCTCAGGGCTTAGTATTGTTAATTTTATTGCCAAGCTATTGAGAATATTTTATAATAACATTACAACTATTTTTTGTTTCTAAGAATGACAAATATTTAATGAATCTAAACTCATTGACTTAAAATACCTAGTTGTTAGAGAAAGTGTCCAAAAACAATAAGCATCAATTGAAAATAGTAGTGTCACACTTATGATTCGAATCCATTAACTACAGGACTACCTCCAAAGACATATGCAGAACATCTTATAAGGATGAGTCTTTTGAGTAATCCATAATATGACGATAGATATTCAGTAGTTGAGTAACTGAAATTTTGTGCATTAAAGTTTCTTTCTATTATTTCCTGTTTTATAATTATTGTTGCACAATTCAATATTTAATCAATAGAAAATGTCTTGACAAGACAAATTATAAAGGCTATTTTTGGCACTATAGACTAAATTAGTAAAGATTATTGATATCTGGTGCATAAAAGAAAATATGACATTGTAAGTCATGTGACTGCTATGATTTACATTTATAATGTAAGTAATTTCAGTATTATGATATAATAATTCTGTGCTTGTTGACTGATTTTATCGAAATCATGTATTAAATTCATTTATCAATAAATATATTTTTTTTAAATAAAAATATGTATATATTATAGTTTTTATAATCGATTTAATGGGTCAAGTGGAAGAATGTTAATTCCAGTGATTAAGTGGATGACCCATTAACCCGATGTTTTATTTTTCTCATCTACTCATAACAGTTGAGCCAATTGAAAGGACAATTAAAATAATAGATAATCGTTATAAAGGAAAATGTATATTGACAGAGTGGGTAATCTTAAAATAAATTATAAAATTACTATATTTTATGAGAATTAAAATATAATAATAAAAATAGTTATCAATACATTCAATTATTATAAATGTGCTTTGAATTCTTCTCTTATCTATAAAAGAAATATAAATCCCCATCT